GTAACTCTTCCACACCATTATCTACCTATGACTGTTATTACTTCTACGTGATACGTACCGTAACTCTTCCACACCATTATCTACCTATGACTGTTATTACTTCTACGTGATACGTACCGTAACTCTTCTACACCATTATCTACCTATGACTGTTATTACTTCTATGTAATACTTACCGTAACTCTTCTACACCATTATCTACCTATGGCTGTGATTAATACTACGTAATACTTACCGTAACTCTTCCACACCATTATCTACCTATGACTGTTATTACTTCTACGTGATACGTACCGTAACTCTTCCACACCATTATCTAACTATGACTGTTATTAATACTATGTTATACTTACCGTGACTTTTATTATCTTGATCTGTAACTGTCACTGTTATTAGTACTATGTTCTACTAACCGTGATTTTCATGATCCCAGCCTGTAACTGTGGCTGTCATTACTACTATGTTATACTTACTGTGACTTTCACGATCCCAGCCTGTAACTGTGGCTGTGATTAATAATATGTTATAGTTACCATGACTTTTACGACCCCAACCCGTAACTGTGGCAGTTCCCTTCATAATTTCTTCTTTCTCGGGGAGGCACACAGGAATGATATGCTTTCTAAAAACCACAGGTTGAGACAGTTCGAGTAACGCAATATCATTCTGGTAGGTGGCAGCATCATAAAGTTCATTAATCACCTTACGACGAACAGTGTACTCTTCATGAGGATAAGGTTCTGAAGTCTCTCGAATGTTATGTTCTCCTATCCTAACTCTCAAGGAGCTGGCAGGGGCTCTGTAAATAAGGTACTTTTTGTTATATTTATTAAGAAAAGTTATCCATTTATCAAGGTTAAAAGAAACACTACATCATGATAGTCCTGCACTATAGTTTTTAGAACTTACATTAGAAAATAAACATACAAAAGAACATTAGTAAAACAAAAAGTTCAAAGATGTTGGTTTAACATCACCGCAGGTTAGCAAGAAAAGGAGTTATTGAACGAATCGGCAAGAACACTATAACATAAGTGTCCTTCTTCAGATTAGGTTTAAACTGATTAATGAAAAAAGTACACCAAAACTGCCTTTCCTCAGATGAAATTTAAACTTATTAATGAGAAAATGCAGTGACACATTTCCTTTTTTTTAGATCAGGTTTAAACTGATTAATAACGAAGTATAATAAAAATGCCTTTTTTCAGACTTGCTTTACGTTTATTAAAGACAAAGTTAGTTATCAGAATAATTCTTTAGACAGAGATGAAACTTTGAAAATAGATCGACAAAAGAAACCAACAGTCTTATTTCAGGCTACATTTTAAAATTGTGGAGTTCAATACTGAAAACAAGTATAAATATGTTGATAAACAGTCCAAACTTAGCAGCACTATAGCTGATCATTTAAGGAACCATTGCTGTCTAACTCTCTGTAGTTTAAACTAATTCAGCCAAGTCCGTGCCATACTTACGTATACACACAATGGGCTGCTGTTACAATCCATTTTTCATGATTCAGAGCTAATTCAACCAAGTCCGTGCCATACTTACGTATACACACAATGGGCTGATATTACAATCCATTTTTCATGATTCAGAGCTAATTTAGCCAAATTTCTGCCATACTTACGTATACACACAATGGGCTGCTGTTACAATCCATTTTTCACGAATCAGAGCTAATTCACCCAACTCCGTGTCATACTTACGTATACACACAATGGGCTGCTGTTACAATCCATTTTTCATGAATCAGAGCTCCTCCACAGGCTATTTTCCTTGATAAAAATCTCGTCTTCAGGACAGCCACCTGGAAATCAGAACTGTATTTTACTTCTAGGCGTTTTGTCCGGATTATGAAAATCAAAACAATGACCATTTTTAGTTATTGAGTCTTAGGTTTGTTTCAGTTTATCAAAAGTATTGTTATTTTACACCTCTATATTTAAATTACGTTTGCAAAGAACTGACTTATTGTTGACCAACATTAAGAATACAAAATCAGACGAATATATTTATAGTGATGTAAAAGAGTTATTGAAGGAAAGCTTATTATAAAAAAATAATTATACGCTCAGCACTTACCTGCCACGGCTGTTCTCCAAATTCAGTATCAACACCGCCAACAATTTTTGAATCCCGAACGTAAGTCTTTCCACAATCTGATTTTATAATTTATGAAAGATAATTAACCTTGTGATAAAATTCTAAGAGTATGGAATTAAAACCATTCTAAATCAGGAGCATATATATTATTTTCGTATTTCAGGGCTAATCAAGGATTATTTTATTTCGGAATATAAAGTAAGAGAAACAGGAGTAGATTTTACTAAAACTTTTATACTACTTATTTTTAATACTTTCAGAACATATGATAATTTAGATACAATAACAGCAGAACACAAATATTTATAGGTAAAATGCGCTATCAGTTGCCTTTTATTCAGAAACTAACACAATTGATAAGTTCACAACTATATTTCAGGTTCTAATGACATGAAGCATCATGCACGCAAAGTCTATTTTATTAAAAGGATTTTACTCTTTCGTCAACGTTGAAAATATTTTGCTTATTTTCACGTTTTAAACTACTATGACTTATAGCTAGGAAAATATAATTCATTGGGTTTTCAGTTTCAGTCTAAACAGTTAAAAGCTATATGAGACTTGACCATCACTCCTACAGCGCACTCACGGCCCCAAAGTGGGAAGCGCGATTTGGTGGCAATGGGACACAACCCATGGACCCTCGAATCCATAGTTCAATCCGTAACTACTAGGCCACGTACGGCCATGGCGTAAGGTGAACTGACTTATATAGAAAATTAAACTATTTATATATATATATTTCCAGTTTACCTGGGGTCTTAACAACAGCGTGTGTTGCAGGCTCCACTTCTCTCGGTACACAGCAGCCCCAAACCATTCCACCGCTACACAGATCTATTGCCTTCTTGCCCTGGAACCAACAGCTCAACGTCAACCCACAGTCATATGTTTTGCCTTGGTAGAAACAATTCTGAGGGAGTGCTAAAGAATGAGATCAAACAACAGACACATAAAATATTTTTGTGTTTCGTTCATCCTCGTGTTTAGGTTTATCTGTGTATCACATCAAAGATGAACTCGACTGGAATACTGATTTGGTGAAGTACAAAAATCGATGAAAGATGCACATATAAACGACTTGGTATGATAAACTGAAAACTGATCAAAATATTAACGTTTTGTTTTATGAAACTTTTGAAAATTTCTACTGTTTAAAGAGAGAGGAAAAAAATAAATTGGCCAATAAATAACAAGTTTAGTTCACAGTAGGTATATGTATACAAAATAATCAATATTCTGACAAAAATTAAATGGTATGCATATTCTCTTTCGATATTTTAGGTACAGCTGTAGAGAAATGTTTTGAATTATCCTAGAAATTTAGGAATGAGACGTAATTGAAATAATGATATGGACATAATCAGGCTCACTGACAAGGGGGGGGGGGCAACAAAGAGGGCAACTGCCCAGGGGCCCGGGCGAATGAAATCTTGTTATGCCATAAAGCCCGCAAAACATCTTTAGGCTATATCTTAATTTAATGATAAAAACCATAGTTTTTGGCTTTTCTTTTCATATAGACGCTTGATACATTAAGAACGACTGAAATAATAATTTGAGTAACAATTAATATGTATTGTTACTTTATAGATTTAATAGATATTTGTTGTTACTTTATTAACGTTTTTATGCTTATACTGTAAGGTAAAAACAGCTGCTGCTATCATTTAGTCTGGTTTATGAGCTCGT